ATGGAGTTATCAAGGTGGTGTTAGCAGCATTGTTATTAATGTAAGTATGAAGTTATCAAGGTGTTAGCAGCAGCAGTGTTATTAATGTTAGCATGAAGTTATCAAGGTGTTAGCAGCATCAGTGTTATTAATGTTAGCATGGAGTTAGTGTCTGGGACAAGAGACAAACATAAATAAAAAGAAGTCATTGAAAATGGCCATGACAGCAGTTAATTCTCTGTGATACATGTTATGACTTCTCTGCTCCTCTTTGCTTTAAAATGCAAAATCATTTGACTCAAAATTAAATGTGCAGCATGTGCAACTTGGAAAGACACTGTGTTTGTTCAGACTCTATAAAAAATACCTGCTTTCATGTAAATATGAAAGTTAGAGTGCAAAACCCTTCGTCTCTGAATGTGTATGACTCAAAGAGTCATTCCTGGGCCTTAAATTTGTTTTTCTTCTCCTCAGCTGTTTGAGTCGGAGAGCAGCACCTACACCTACGTGCTCGCAGACGCTGAAACCAAGGAGGCTGTCGTCATCGACCCCGTTCTGGAGACGCTCGACAGGGACCTGAAGCTCATACGTGAACTGGGGCTCGACTTGAAAGTGGCAGGTATCTGTCCAACTGTGACTGAGCTGTGATGACTTTATTACTTTATTTGACAGGGACACTGCATTTTAATAACATTTCTGAATCTGGGTCATTGATATGAAAGTTAAAGACTTTAAGTTCAGACTTTAGCGATCAAATTAATTCACACTAATTCTGTGTCCCATCATTTTAATTGTCAAATACATTTAGGGGCAAAATGCACACTATCCGATGCAAATTAATTAAGAATACTTTTCCACTGACAAAAGTATACAGAGAATTTATATTCAAAATAATGTTCATTTGCTTCTCATTTCAACAGACGTAATTATATGCTCTAATAATTGTTTTAATTAGAATTAACATGGAATCATTGAGAGTGGAGTGTTATGCAATATTATTACAAAACCTCTGACTCTGTGGTAAACTTGAGTCCCCTCTTAATCTGATAGTTAACACCCACTGCCATGCGGACCACATCACAAGCACTGGCCTGATGAAGAAAAGACTGGCCGGCCTGAAGAGCGCCATCTCCAAATTCAGTGGTGCTGCTGCAGACATCCTCCTGTCAGAGGGAGACAGAATCCTCTTTGGAAAACATGTAAGAAGAACCGATTTAACACATTTCACTACACAACATCAAACCACACAACACGTACTTTAGAGAGAATGATTGGTTGTGTTTGGATCTATCACTATCAAAATGTAAAGTGAAATATAGTACTGTAAAACCGTGTAGTAGTGATGTAACGTTTAAAGCTCAAGGTCCAAAGTGTATGAAGGGCGCTGCCGGAAGAAGAGCTGCTTCAAAGCTTGTATCTGTTTGCAGAAAACTATGTGACACCTCACCTGTGCCACATGACACTGAATTTCTCTGTCATGTGAGAGTTGAGGATGGAGAGATTTTTTTGTAAGAAGCGAAACTGTCTCAAGCCTGAAAGAACCATGGAAGTTCTGTAAATAAATCCCAATAATATTATTATTACTCCACTTTGGAGAAAATGTCCAGATCTCCCAAGTTGTAGTGTTGCAAAATTTACATCGTGTCATATCTAGTTTTCTGTATTACTGCCGGCTGGTGGACTGGAGTGGAACAGCTCCTTGTAGCTGTCTGTTCTTTATATGTCACCAGGTAATGTCTCTAATCTTCCCTGGTTTTTAGACTGCAATAGATACAACACTCTGCAGGATTCCTGTTCGTTTCTAGAAAAAAGTTCCAGGTACTTCTGGTCGTAACACAGCTTTTGTCAATACAGCATCTTATATCCTGATTTGACTCTCTCCGCTTCTTAGTATTACATAGACACACCCATGCATATTTCAAATTTTAGGTGTGATTCAGTGTTTGTCTCTTCACCCCGTTAGTATCTGACAGTGAGACAGACACCTGGACACACTGACGGCTGCTTGACGCTTGTGTTGGAGGATCAGAGCATGGCATTCACTGGGGACGCTCTCCTTATCAGAGGCTGTGGCAGGACAGACTTCCAGCAGGGTAGAAATATTCACCTTTACTCTCTTAATGATCTCATATAAAATACCTTGCTTATCTTTCACCCTCACACAGTTTTAAGCTTTTGCAGTATTGCTAGATGAACACATGAGGGCAGCCTTGCATTAGTGTGTTGCTTTTGCAAAATGTTCTCTCTCTGATTCAGGCAGCCCTGAGAGGCTCTACGAGTCGGTCCATCAGAAGATCTTCACCCTGCCTGACCAGTGCCTCATCTACCCAGCGCACGACTACTTAGGTTGGTTATTCTAAATGTTAATGTCCTTTTTCAAAGAGCTACTTGTGTGGAAACTGGTGCAAATGGACAGAATTAAAGCACAGTCCTGAAAACTGGGGGTGAGTGTGTTGGATGAGGTTTCTAATATACGACAGCCGCAAAAAAAAACAACAACCTCCATTTGGAATTTAAAATATTACACAGTTTATACTGATGGTGTATTTCAGTGCATATGCCATCGGTCAAGAAGTACATTCTGTACAATGCATCACTTGTCTGTATGTCTGCCAGCAGCATGTGATTTCTCCACACTTTGAAACTGATATATCATTTGACTGATCAGTGTGGTTCAACTGGTAAACATCACAACCACAGTGGCCGCAGACGACATAAGAAGCTGTGTGTTTCTCTGTGTATCAGGTCAGACGGTATCTACAGTTGGTGAGGAGCGAAAGTTTAACCCACGCTTGACAAAGAACCTCGAGGAGTTTGTGAACATCATGAACAACCTGAATCTCCGGAAGCCTGCAAAAATAGGTAACAAAAACAATTTCTCAGTCAAGCCACAATTCATGCTCCGTAAGTAAACATAGTTCCATTGCACAGACGGACACCGAAACATTTAATTTCTTGCTTGAAGCCACACTCCCTCTGAATACAGTTAATTTTTTCCTTCCTTTGCAGATATTGCAGTTCCTGCTAATCTGGTTTGTGGGTTACATGACCTTTGAATGTGCTGCAAAAAGGAGGTTTTTAATCAAATCATCTACATCATAGCAAAATAATCAGGATTTACATATCTGTAATTAGCAGGAGTAACCAAAATCTGAGGTTTAAGAGCTTTTTTTTGTGTCTATGTATATAAAAATAAAGATTTATGTTTTAAGAGCTATTGTTTATTGTAAATTGACCAAATTTGTCTTTTAACAACCACTCAAAGCTGGAATTTAACCACAGTCCCTCCGATTAGTGGATTATTCTCCTGAGCCTTATTTGTAGTGCAGCTACCAACATCATTGTGATCACACTCGAAAATAAAAATGCCATAAGTTCAGTTTTAACTGTTAAAATGAATCCTACAAATCTGCAGAAGAGGAAGAATCACTATTAAATTTATTTTGGATTTAATATGAATGTGCATGTTCTCTTTATTCAGCTGTGTTTGGGGAGGAATTTTACGAGAGGGAACGCTCAGAAAGAAATGTTCCATTCAAGGTTTGGTTTAGTATTCACGAATGCTAAACTGGGACAATTGAGTTCTTCCACTTGGCCTTTGTCAGTGATTCCTTTAGCCAAGGCCTCTCTCTCTCTCACACACACACACACACCACCCAGACGGCTGCCAGCCACAACCTTTTTGCATAGCAGGGAAATTAAACTACACTATTTGCATTCAGAAACACTGGGGGCCAAGTTTCCTCCATGCGTTTGTGTTCTCAGCTCTCATCTGTAGACGGGGGCGTCTTTTGAAATGTGTATCATTGTCTCAGTAAACGTGAAATAGTTCATCGATGCCAAGTATCAACGCAGTAAAATCAAAATCCAGATTTTCAAATGTCCCGTGTGTGCTGCTGTCAGCTGACATCAAGCGGCTCGTCAACCAGTAAGACGGGTTTGCGAGGGAGTGTTGGCCACATGCCTCCGCCAGAGAAACCCGCACATGTGACAGTAAGCTATGCAAGAGTATGTGACTGATGAGCTCCAGGGTCAGTTACAAAATACACCTCATGAGCTGTTTGTTAAGGATCATCATCCTTCGATCTTTTACTCCTGCTGCGATTTAAAGCAGTGTTCCACTCACTGTGCACATTTAGTTCAGTTTTTTAAAACGAGCCTAAAGAGAAGCTAAGAATAAAACAAATGGGTAAAGAGCATAATGAGGTAAAAATTAAAACTTTCAGTTGCAGTACAATGTCCTCCGGGATTAAGGAGGGAGCTTTCCACAGTCTGAAAGAACGTCTTCCGTGTGAAGGCTACAAATAACAAAAGCCCAAATTACAAACTGTTTAACCTCAACCTTGTGTCACCTCATTTTTTTTGAGGTTAAGACATTTTGACAGAGCACTATTATAAGATTACAGTCATAACAGCAGATGTATCGTGTGGTAAAGAAAGAAATTTGATCTCTACATCTCTGTTGGTAAAAGTCTCATATTGTCTCTACACACCCGCTGCTTGTAATGTGAATTATCTCCTTTCCGCTGCTCTTCTTATTGTTATCTGTGTGATGTCAGTACACGGATGTCTTTGATGTTGTAGTGGTGGTGGAATGCCTGCAAGGTTTGAACCCCGTCCAAAGATGCACAGAAACTTTGTTATCATAGAAGACTTGGTTTAAGAAGAATGGGGAGAGTGGAAGAAAAGGTTTTGTGTTGGCGAGTGTTGGCTGCTCATATGCAAGTTAATACCTTTAACCACCACATACGTAACATCTACCAGCTGTCTCCGTCAGCATTTGCGATAAACAACATTTTTGGACATCCCCTCTGCCTCACGTGTAACAACGACAGACACATACATTGTTTTTCCCTCGGAACAGGAGGCGTGTGAGCGTTGTCACCATTGAGCTGAAGATATGTTGCTTCACAGTCGTCTCAATGTAAAATGGCTCTATTCTCTTGATCCTGTTGTGCTGCTGGGAGGCGAAGGTGCCAGCTGTCCTCACCAGTCTGTGTCACCCATCTGCCGGCCCTCTTTCAGGCCCTCCCCCCCTCTGCCCACTCACACCGTGCCACCGTGAACCTGCTGCCTATTCTCCCACACCGGCCACATGTCAGTGGAAAGAATCTATTACACTATCGGCTCATTCACAAAGAGCTGTAAAGAGGCCGGTCGGGGTGATAAAGCCCTCAGAGTGAGGGGCGGAGAAAATACTCCTGTAGAGACTTTAAGTGTTAAACTCACTACCGTGGACTCAGTGGTGACTGCTGAGCTGCAGAAAAAACATCTTTAGCTCTCGCGATGTTAATAAGAAGTGGAAAGACTTTTGTATTCTCAAAGCAACACGGTGTAGCTTTAATGAGCAACAGCGCCCTCTACAGCCACATGTGGTGGTTAATACTGCTGGGCTTTGTGTTCGAGCAATTAAGCGATTTTTATCATTTGACCTCGTCCCGCTCACTGAACCGAAACACAACTGAACACTGGATAATACCCATGATCCCCGGCTTTGTAAACCAGAGAACCTGCTGCTGTAACAAATCCACCAAACTCTGTTTAGAATTCTTCATTTTAAACGTTTCCTGCTGAACATTGGAGATAAACTCTGGTTTTTAATAACTTCTGAGTCTTTTCAACCGATCTACAGTTCAGCTTCACTCTTGCTGGAGCCGATTCTGAAGATTGAAGCTGCGACTCTCAGGCAGTTCCATATTTCTCACAGGAGATCACACCCGTGGCACCATTCCACCATTTCCAAGTTAGTGACGCCGTCAAACTAATTTTGAAGCTGCTGTTTTAGGTAAAAAGTTGCATCGTGTTGCTTTAAATCTCTGAGTATCACTCACCTTTCTGCAGAGTCGTACAGAGCTGTGGTGCTCAGCCGTAAGTTTACAGTGACTGTGTAATACTTTATGGTATTTTAATCTCTGGGATCATTATGAGACGACAAAAAGAAAGGGCTTGTGGTACTCAACTATTCTTAAAGCACTTTACATGTAAACACACTCTGTTATCCAGGTCATGGGATTTTTGACAGTAGCAAGTCACATTACCTCAATGTTCATTGAATAATTAATACTATGTTATGATATTTTTACTCAATGTCCCGTAGAGACATTTGGTGAGTTTATTAGTATTCTATTGACTTTTGGACTTTATTAAACATGTGGTATCACTATTATTCTTGTGTTACACCATAATATACATATATTATAAATAGATCATATATACCAATACATATTATTATAACTATAATAATATTACTGATGTTATCATTATTCTGTCTACAACAAAAGCATTATCATCTTCTCTCATCGTACTACTATATTACTGTTGCCAATCATTCTGACAGCACCTTACTAGTAGTCACATGCAGCACGTCTCTTTGTTGTCTTGTTCTCTTCTTATGTTCCATGTTCTGTTGCACTATTTTTGCACTTTGGCCGTAAGAAACCACGTCTTGTTTGGCCGTGCACTTTGTATGAGGATGAATGACAATAAAAGTAAACTTCAAAACTGGAAAAACCTGAATATCCCTAACGATTTTTATGGTAGCTTTCATTTCTAAACGGCCCTGCTCACCAAGGTGACACTCGTGTGCAGAGGGAAAGTGGAAAGTTTGTAGAATTTGTGTTGTGGAAAGCAGATGGGACTGGGGATGGGTTGTACTTCAGACAGGCAGGTTAACAACAGTAGTCCACAAAAATTGTTAATGATTGAGCTTCTTATTAAACTTGTTACCGTCATTAACCTCTGTCACTGTCACTCACTGACGCCAAACAAGCGCACCCCCCCCCCCATGTCATATAACAATGAAAAGGAAGTGTAATGTGGTTTTACTGCATCCTCAGGCCTGGGCACGTAGAGAGTTTGATTGACACCTCTCTGACGCTCCTCTTAGTTTTTTTTGTTGCTCCTGCTAGGGCGGGACATCGCCATCTTTCATTCTTATTGCTTTTAGTCGCCAAGTCAAAGCTACGAGATTTACAAAACCTCTTAATGAAAAAATGTGCACTTGGCACTCGGTGCACGGATGAGGGTATTTGTGGCAGACAGTCACAAACACTGATCGCGCACGTATCTCTGATTTAATAAAGTTGTATATACTAACAGGGGACACTTGGATGACACCACAGGAGCAGTTCTGTTTCCTGTTGTTTTTACGTTTGAAGGATTGATCACCAGTTATTTCAATTGGATTGAATTTGGCTGCAACCCCTGAGACTGAAACCCACCTCTCCATCGGAACAGTGGTGAGTAATTTTCGTTTTTAGGGTGAACTACCCCTTTAAGTCTTCTGAAAGTCTTCTGAAAGAAAACAAAAAAAAGTGTGTGGTCACTTCACCCCCCAAACAAAGTAAGAATATTAAAAATGCTGCCACAAAGTTCCCATAATCTGTTCTGACCTCTAAGTTCATCCTCCTGCTGTATCACTGTCATATTAAAATCAGCCCAGTGGGAGTCTGTCATTAGAAGCATTAAGGGTTTTTATTTTTTCACTGGCAGTCTGCCTGGATGACTCCTCCGCTCCAAAATGAGAAAGTCCTGCCAGTGCCCAGAACAGAGATCCCATGTCAGAGCAGGGACTTGAACTCTAACAGTCTGTAACAACTCAGAGGGGAAAAGAACAAGTTTGTAAAAGAGGATATGAGGTTATTAATGTTTGCTACCAGCTCAAAACACATGTTCTGGTCGGTGCCCGCCTCCTTCGTCGCTCTCCTCCTCCTCCTCCACATGCGTCCGGCTCAGCCTCACCTGCCGACCAGCAGCTCTCACTGACCCGTGGTTGTTTCTTTTAAATCCTGGGTGGGACTGAAACAAACCAGGTGAGGATTAAAACAACCAGGGGGAGGAAATCTGACGAGGCTCAGATTCACAGGACGCAACCGGAGAGTAACTTTTAACGCGACCCAGGCTCCGTCCGTGCGTCCTGAAACGAAAGCGCAGCACAAAGTTCGCTGAAGTGACGTTTCGCTGCTGTTTGGTTTCCTCCTCTCTCCCTCTGGAGCGAGTGTCATGAAGCGGAGGAGCCACAGCTGCTGGAGTCTCTGAGGTTGGAGCACGTTTTCCAGGTAAGAGACGAGTTTCCTCCGCTTCCCTTCGCTTTGACTCCAAATGAGCAGAACATGACTCCAAATCCCCAGAAACACTTTACGCTCAAAGCAAAAAGCGGCTTCTGTCGTAAATATCAGGCAGAGAAACTTTAATTCACACACAGGCACAGCTCTAACATCTGTGTGTGTGCGTGTGTGTGTGTGTGTGTGAAAAGTTGTGGGTACCTTCTTAATTCTCCTGCTCTCTTAACAAAAGAGGATTTAAAACTGCTTCCTGGAATTTAAAGCAAAAAGCAAAACCTGCCTCCTTGCTTAAGTAAATTCTTTGGCTGTGACTGTAAAATAGTCTCCACTCATTGATTCATTCATCAGAATGTGTTGAATCCCTCCCTCTGGCCTAAATACCCAGGTTACTACTGTTAGAGATACTTGATTTACTTTATATTACTTAATGTTATTCATTCATTCATGTTATTTATTAAGGCAATATCCACAATTATGTTTAAAGACTGAGTTTTGCTTGAACAATGCAGAAGCAATTTATCGATAATGAACTTTATTTATCGATAATGAACTATTATTGTGACGTATCCCTTTGATAATAGTTGTTGTTGTCCAACCCTGATATGAATACGATTATTCAGTCTCTTATCTGTGAAAATACTGAAAGTTACTTTCTCTGAGACACATTTTTAGTTTTCCAGTCCAACCTCGTCCCATGACAATAACCTCGGCTTACAAAAATCGGCCTTTTGTTGACAGTGACCCTGGGATATCTCCTCTTTTATCCCTCCATCAGCACATGCAGGGTAAACAGAGTGGGTGGGAGCGTGGCTGTGAGGAGAGATTGCCTTGGGTGGGGAGGGTTTACCGTCTGGGGACTTCTGCCTTCTAGTTATTTTCTCTCTCTCTCTCTCTTGTTGCACGACTTGTTTTGACCAGGACCGAAGACAAATCTGTGTCTGAGCCCTGCGTCCCAGTCGCTCATTAATGGCTCACGCTTTCTTGCATCACAGTTCCCACAGATTTGCTCAGGCCAAAGGAATCTCTTGTGAGTGCAGTGGAAGCTGTCTGATTACTCACAGTAGACAGCTGGGAACTGATAATCGCCTTCAGATAATTTCCCACATTAAAACAATTTGTAATCATATGGGGTTGTTTTTTTTATTTCCATGAATTAGATTTTCCCCAGTGTAAACTAAGTTGCAGCCTCAAGGTAGATGAACACAAGTGGGCTTTTCTCACACTTTCCTGTTTGTGACATTTGAGTTATCACAGCAAGGAAAGCACAGGACCAACATTACATTCGACTCTATAATTCATGAGTCCCTGTGAACTATCACCAGGGCCTTGAAAAATAATGTCACCTCTTCATGCAGTTAGCTGGTATTGTTGTTCTCCTCGATTTCCCAGAGTGCCTTTCACTTTGTTTAGGGAAACCTGAACTTGTAAAACATCTAGTTGTAACGCAAGAAGAATATCGTCAGCAGCTGAAGTTGGACAAGCTGCCGATTCGTTAATAACGATAGTTGTTGTTGCGTTCCGGTCATTAAACCTTAATATTTTTTGGTATCGACCAGATTTTGTACAGAGTCCAAAACCTCTTTCTATTTGTGTTCTAGTATTTAACATTTGCAGAAGTTGGTTTCCCTGTTAAATGGAAATTAACATATACAGCTCCAACTTAATTTTGAACCTTAACTGCTTGTGTTGCAGAAACCGGTTAATCGACTTCTCCATCTACATTGAATTTCTCCTGATCTTCAATCTGAGATCTGGAAAGAAGTCAAACATTTGATACTGTCTGACTAGTCTGACTACTGTCTGACAGAACTTGACATGTACAACTGTCGATGGGGATTTCTCAGACATTTTAAGTGCAGTGGTAGTCTTTGCCAAACAGCCAATAAGCCAGTCAGCCGGTTTTCGACGGCAACACCGAGGAAGGCACAATAAAAACAACAGAAATGTAACACCCAGTAAATTACAGCTGTGGCTTTTTTTGGTCATTTATTTTCCTTCTGATGTTCGTCAGCCTGATGTCGTTGCTATTTCCCTGCAGGTGACACCGAGCTGCATGATTAGATTTGTTATATGCGGCCGTGTCACCCAGGTGTCAGGAGGGATTTGTCACTTTTTCCCCACAGTAACATGGTGACAGCTGTGTGACATCCACAATATCTCACCTGCTCTTCCCGCTTACACACTGTGATGACAGCTTCCTGCTCCTCGGCGCCGAGCCAGCAGGTCCTGAGGTCAGCACAGGGTAGTCTGCAGAATTTACTCTGTCAGATGACAGCGTGCCCTTTTGCTTAAATGTGTTAGAAGGATTCCCCCCACACACACACACACACACACACACACACACACACACACACACACACACACACACACACACACACACACANCACACACACACACACACACACACACACACACACACACACACACACACACACACACACACACACATCCAATTCTCCGGATTATCTATATAGAATTTTTGCTATAGGAGGCCAGAGTCACTCTGCGTTCACTCATGCACGTCAGGCGGAGGATCTGCGGAGCTCAGTGCATGTCTGAAAGCAGCTAATGAGGAAAGTGATGTGTTTTCTGAACTTTAGAGCTTGTAAACCTTTTCATATAACAACCCATATTAAAATGATGAAGTTGAATATGAGCAGAATGTCTCTGAGGGAGCATAGTCTTGTTTTTTTACTGCTTATGTATTTATTTCTTTGATTAGAGCTAAATTATAACATGGGCAGTGCAATAAAGTGGTAAAACGAAGGACCTCTCTCTCCACTTTGACCATCAAAACTGGAAAATGACTTAATGCTCTCTGGAAACACTTTGGATCAGATACTAATGTGATGATGTCAGGCTGCTGCTGAACACTTTAAAAGCTGGAAATTTGGTCCGTTTGACTGAAGCTGCAGCCTGTAATTGTGGCCAGTACAAAAAAAATATGTGTTGTCCCACTAGTTCATGTTGCTTAATACGTCATTTTGGTCTCATGCCTTCTGCCCATGCGGAGTCGGCCACTTACAGTAAGTGAGGAGGTATTTTGTCATCTGGATTGCAGATAACCCTCTGGTCAGTGTCACGCCACTGTGCAGAATTTGTATAGCACAGTACAACGTGGTTCAAGGTCGCAGTGTGTTTGTGCTGAGCTCGACTGATTTCACCACCTAATCCTCTGAAAATGTTTGAGCTTCATAGACTCGTAGCAAAATCCCACACATTCTTTAAAACCTTCCTCGGGTAAAGTCAACACAGATATTATTTGACTTTATAAAGTTTATTCAATGAAATGTCGTAAATAAAGTGATCAAGTTTTTGAGGTCCTTTTAATTTATTGTTTCACATTGATATATTTATATTTTTGTGAATGGGTGTTGATGTATTATTTCCAATGTCGTCTTTCAAACTTAAATTATTCTTGGAAAGAAAAAGGAATAAACCTCCATTAATATGTAATGAAACGTCACTGCGGTCGTTGACGTGAGTGAACTGAGGGCGACTTGACCTCTTGACCTCTGTGGATTAATTCTGCATTGTACCCCCCCCCCCCCCCCCCTCTCTTCACAGAGGTTCTGCTCACGCGCTCCATGTGTGACATGTTTTCCCAATAGTGCCGCTGAGCGCACAGTGACAGGCCGCAAACAGCACTCACACCCACACAGGGCACGCTGCCGTCACAGCTCTTTTGTCCTGTATGTGGAATATCGCTGTTGTCAGTGTTGACTTTATGGTTTTGTGTACACAATGCTTAGCCTCACTTTTCCTTTTCAGCCTCTCACCAGCAACGGGGTCCTGACGGGGTCATTTCAGATCGCTGCTGCTGCGATTCGGGTTAAATGTTGTTTTCAGGCTCCAGTAAAGCATCAGTGAAACTTTAAATATGCTGAGGCCCAGGTTTCAGTGACCAGTGCATCAGAGACCAACATGTTGTGAAGGCAGTATACAGTTATATAGAGAGGAATATATGAAAATTGTCTCTATACAGAGCGTTTATGTGCAGCACTTCCTCTGTCACACGTCACTCACACACTTGCACACTCTGGGGACTGAGATCGAGACGCTTTATCCGTCTGCTGTACTTTTTCATCTAGTGGACACTTGAGAAAAATGCCTCATGTATGTCGTCATTTATCTGTGAAAGTATTTGCAATTAGCAAAGTTTTCCACTTCCACAGCCAAGTGGGAAAGCAGTTTTTGGAGAATTGAAAGAACATTAAAATCTCTAAAATCCTGTAATTTTACTTTTATCTCGTTGAACCATATTTTAATAAACTCAACATTTTATCAAAGTTAATTCAAAAACAAACTAAGAAGACAATATTTTGGAATAGAGTATAAAACATCCAATTCAGATACAATATCGTCACTTTAGAGCAAAGGTTTTTCAGACATATTCTCCACTTTGTGTTCTTCTTACATTTGTTTTCCATGGTTTGTTATTTCGTATTTTTTCTGGGTGAAAATCTCCATTACACCAAACATATCTGAACATTGAAAGTGGCAGACGTCCAGTCATTGTCTTGTGAATGGTCGAGTTGTAGTTTTCCAAACATGCTCTGCAGTGTTCGAGGTGATGACTGAAAACTCTTATTTTGTCGTCTAAGCTTTTCTAGCTGTAAACAACATGGCGGCTAAGGAAATGTTCTGGATGAAAGCTTGTGGTCTGTGTGTGCAGCCGCCGATTTGGCAAACTGTCCGTGCAGTTCCACACAGTCTGTGCAAAAAAATTCACGTGATAACCTCGTTTCTTATTCAACGGATTTAGTCGGTTCACGCAGCTGGACCCAAACAAACTGTTTATTGATCGACTTCTATCTGAATCAGTTGATCAGAAACCCACGAGCGGCTGAAACCTCGGCGGAGCCACACGGGGAGAGAAGCAGTGATAAGACTGTGCTGATGTGAGTTCATGGTGAGATAAAGTGGCACAAGTAACATTCCTGTTTGGACGCAGCCCTCGCTCTCACAGAGCTCCGACTGTGTGCATGTGTTTGTGTTATGGTGAGTCAGCTGTTGGCCGTTATTGCTGATCTGTGGCTGATAATTATCATCGCATGCTGGTGCACGGAGTCCTGAAATCTTCTTGGGTCTGTTTGAAGTTGATGGTCGTGTCTTGTGTTACCTTATGGGTTAGTTATTACATAAGACAAACAACAACATCCACAGGAGAGTAGACTCGATGCTGAACTGTTTGTTCCCTCTCTGCTATCTTATTCTCAAAAAAAAAGGAAAAAAAGAAATCAAGCTCGTTTATTTTGGGCACAAAACCGTTGATTGTTCTTCACTGTGGCTCTGAGGCGAAACATGACTCTGCTGATTTATTGTTCCATCTTTACTCCGTGCTCTTCTCACTGTCTCCTTGTTAATGTCCTGTTTGTTTAGTCTTTTCTGACATTGGACAAACTGTGTTAACAGGAAAGCGTGGACTTTGCTCTTGAAAGTCAATGTCTCTCTCGTCTCGGCTCTGCTGTGACGATAGTGTATCTGAGTGGACTTTAACTGGAGGTCAGAGAGCAAATGCTTCCACTGATGTTCGTTTGGATGATAATGTAACTCACTGTGAATCTCTCGCTGCCTTGTTTTCCCTTGAGGCTGACGGCTTTTCCTGGGCAGCAGTAGCTTAGAAAGCACCACTGTATAACTGTATAACTCGATTGACACTGAGTGGAGCGCATTCCTTTGCCGAGGCCCGACAGTCTCCTCACATTCGATCGAGTCGCACCAAACCACTCATGAGCCGTTTGCAGACAGGAACTCCAGAAAATGTCTGGACCCTGCGCAGAAGGAGTTTCTCCTGAGTTTCCGGGTCAGACGCACTTTTCTTTTACTTATGGAGAGTGCAGCAGGAGATAGTCTGGGTCAGACAGGAAAATGTCCGGAGCGTTCAGGTGAGGGGCGACGTCTTGATAGAGCAGCAGGAGGCAGGACATGACGAATACTGTTTATGTTTGTTTACAGCATATCGACACTGACGTCAGCCCTAATCACCAAAAAGTTCTCAATTGTGCTGACACGAAGTGCATGTCTGAAAGCAGCTGTAGATAACAGTTATGATCCATTCATTATTTCAACATTGCATCATTGAAATCTGTGAAAGTGTCAAAAAACGCAATCTTAAACAAAGTGATAAAATATTTCTAGATCCGCCCCTTTGGCTAAAATGTAATGTTTTCTTGTTAGGCCCCATTCTTCCTCCAAGTTTCACAGAAATCTGTTTAGTGGTTTTCTACATAATCCTAAAAACAAACAAATGTGTGGGTGAAAAATATGGAGATTAATGTGGCCTGTTTTATATCCACGCACACTTCTCCAAAGCTCCTCACGACATGTCACTCTTCACTTCCTCTGTCTCCCCCCTCTCCCTCGTCTTTCTCTCTCCATGTCAGTGTGCCAGTCAGTGTTTGGACGGCCTCACTCATATCTCTGCTGTATATTTATCCCCTTCCACTCGGCCTGCGTTCTCTACAGCCCTAATAAGGTCTGGATACAAGGAGAGAGGGACGGCACCGAGGGTGAAGGAAGCTGGGTGGAAAGGTCGGACAATAGGCTGCAGAAGTATTTTCCCACAAATTGGTTTTGCTCTGTGCACACGTGTGCGTGTTTCTGCCGGCTCGCATGTTTCTTGTGTGAAGAGGAGACCACACAGATGAGGAAGAAAGGAGTGAAAATAGAATAAAGTGCAGAGGATAATAAAGGCCTTTAGGTTAACCCATCCCCAAATGTTGGGAAACACTTTGATGCAGACGAGTGTAAATACAGTGTCGTGGTAAACGCACATGAAAGCTCAGACGTCAAAGTTTGCTCGGATGTATTTTTGTGGGCGTCGGCTTTCGCTGATTGTTCGAGCTTCTTTCATTTACCGTCTCTCCGCTGGCACAAAGGCCTCCAACAGAAAAAAGAACCAGGATTTATCACCCTCATATCTGCTTCACCGAAGTCCTTCACTAAAAGAAAGTCCCTGAAACACGACCACAAACCACCACCCACATCCTGTATCCGCTCCTCTTTCACTGCCGTGTGTTTTCTCCTCTTTCGCTCTCGGTTCCTCTGAGGTGTTTTCTCCATCACGGACTTGTTTCTGGAAGCCGTGGTGGTTGGGGGGTGTTTTTAAGTTCTTATGCAGTGTTGCTCAGCTGTGATATCCCCTTTGTGAACTGTCACCTGATCCCTCTTACCTCAACCATGCAGCAGATTGGATTACCACAATGTTCGCTTTAGTCGGCCAGATCCCCCCCCTCTCATTAATTGCCCCCCCCCCCTGAACTTCTCTCAGCCTTTAGAAATGCCCCAACACAACATGGAGAGCCCCAGGAGCCAGTGGCCACAGGGGCTACAGTCGCCGTGGGTCACCCGAGTCGCTGGAGGTCAGAGTCCTGCCTCCTCGGGGGCAGAGTCGGACACGGAGAGCAGCAGCACGGAGAGCGAGAAGGTAAGCGAGTGAGGTGAGGCTGAAGGTGATGTGGTGGAGTCACATGAAACCAGCATCTTCTTGGATGCATCTAAACAAATGACTCACACCTCATTTCAAGACTAAACTATACTTTCCTCTGAGGTTTGCATCTGGTGACTTTGTCCACTCTTTCTTTTTGCCAGTCCTGCGTTAAGAAGCTGGAGGTGGGCTCAGTGAGGCTCCTGCCGTCGTCCTCGAAGCTCCAGCAGCGAATCACGGAGATCGAGCAACAGAAGGAGGAACTGAAGATTGAGGTGAGCATGTGGCGACAGAAACATCTGCACAAAGATGTGCAGCAGAGCGATGAATGAATCAGAAGTTAAAGAGTCAATCAATGGAAAACTGAGGTGATTTGAGAGAAAATGTATTTTGTTCATCAATCGCATAGAAACATTTGCAGTTTCTTGCTCCTCAAAGTATCTGCGGCATAAATAGTTAAATATTTGTTGGAATCTGTATCAAGCTCTGAGAAAATGTGTTTTTAAACTATTTGACATTTAAAGGACAATTTTAATTCAATCAATCAGTTCCAAAATTTAATTGGTTCCTTCTTGTCTTATACCTCACCCGTCCACCAACGGACCAAGGGCAATGAAACCATAACCCCCTCTGAGGTAATGATCAGAGACTGCAGCCCCATTATAAAATAATATATAAGAAAGACTCAAGAGTTAATGCTTTATTCAAGGTTTTATTTAATTTTATCAATTACTGCTGCAGCAAATCAACAACTGAGTCTGAGTCTTCATGGAAAAAAAAAAAAAGATTCCTGAGTGTGTCCCTGCTCTGCATTTTTAAATCTCCACACCAAGTTTCCAAACGCCGCCACAGTCACGGTAAAGGAATGCGTATCTCTCGACTTGCTCAAGCTCCGGTCAATATGATTCAGCTGGGTCGTGTCTCCTGTCGTTCAGCTGCAGCTGGAGATCGCGCTGCTGCAGGGTGAACTGCAGACGGAGAAGAAGCAGCTGCACAGACACACACAGAAGCTGCAGGCTCTACAGCAGCAGGCCGGACAGAGGCAGACGCACAGACACACAAACAGACACAAGGTAAGAGCAACGGCACTCGCACACTCACTGCAATGTTGTGTAATGTACTCATTGTGTAATGTATGTGAAATTGTGTTTTTGTTACAGCAATAGATGGACTGTATTTGTACTTGTTTTATCTTATGTCTGTGTGATTCATTAGAACTAACTGTGTTGATGTAACATTTGATTACAAAGCTTAAGGATCATAAACGCTGCAGAAATAAAAGGCTTAAGGGATTCAACAGAAATGTGTGGGCTCAGTAATGGTCCACTAACATCAACACCAGACCTCCTGAGAAATGATAAGTTGCTTCAGGCTCCAGTACAGAGCTGGTCACAGATAAATATCTCGTTATCCCGAATAAAGTTGTGAAATAGAAGTTTTCTCTTTTTTTATCTGAAAAATCAGGCGATGACTCTTTCTTGCGTCACTGATTTTTTTTTTCCCCTCGCCGTGTTCGTTCCTGCAGGAGCAAGAGCGTCTGGAGGCGGAGAGTCTCAGGGTGCAGGAGCTGAGGAGGAGGTGTGAGGAGAAGGAGAAGCTGATCCCGAGTCAGCCCGAGAGCCAGAGAGAGCAGCTGACCCTGCAGCTGCAACAGGTGAGCCCACTGAGCAGAGTGCAGCGTGGGTAGATAAAAATACAAAATAGACAAAAATGTACTCAAGGAAAAGAACTACATTAACTTTTCTACTAGATAATTTTCAGAACATAGGAGAAGATGTTGAGGATCCCTGGTATGTTTGAAGGTCTAGTTAGGTTTCCACACTAGATGTTAGGGACTTTGTTAAATCCACCACTGAGCTTTTTGTGATTTCGTCCCCAAAACTATCAGAGAAGGATTCATGATCATCACCTGTGCAACACTGGACACTCTCTATTAAATGAAACCCACACAGCAGATCAGTAGAGCTGCAGCTGCGCACATTGAGCTTCAGACGGCACCGTGGTAATCAAACTAGCATGTAATGTAATCTAAATACGTAATCTATTAGATTACAAGTGATTTAGTTACCTGTCAGAACCAGCACAGAAATGACCAGTGTCTCTTTTTACTTTGAAAGGGTTTGGGTTGTAAATCTGATTTTAAAAGTTTGTCCAGTTCTGAATATTTCACGGCTGAAAGGGGAAAAATAAAAAAGGTTATTTGAAAGAAACGTAAAAGTGCAAACTCGGTACATGACTGAGAGTTTCAGTCAAAACATGATGTTGTTTGTTTGGCTGCACAATGTGTGATTGTTCAGTACCTGTTCAACCTGATGTGTCAATGTTTCAGAAGAAGAACACACACACACGCAAACACGCAAACACGCACGCACACACACACACACACACGTACACACGCACACACACACACACATCAATGCATTGTCTTTTGTGAATGTGACAGAACAAGCTGGGAGGGTGCTCCGTCTGTTAATGACAGGTGTTGGTGCAGTCCGGCAGCAGCAGGTTGTTACCTAAGTTGGGACATTTTGGAAGGGGTTTATAAAACAGGTTTGGAACAGACTGCTTCACGGAAAAGCAAACAAAAACTGAAAAGAAATGACAACAGGTATTTCACTTATGAGACAGAGAGGTCGGCAACTCGTTGTGTGTGCTGTTTGAGTTTTTACTTTCACTTCTATGTAGTGGACGGGTTTTTACTCTAAATCACTTGGCATTGAAACTGAAAAAAGCTCTTGGATACAAATGTGATTGCTTGGGTTAGATAATGTTGCAAACATCTGCACGTTGGTGCACACAAACTCATCTGTTGTGAAACTACAAATCTAGATTATCTTCAGATTATCAGCTTCCTTCTCTTCTTTGCACAATAACATTTATGCACAGAATCAGATTTAGAAAGAAGTTGAAGCACTTCTCAGAAGTTGTAGTATTTTGGCATTAGGGCACATTTCATACAAACTGATTAATGTGCTGATGCACAATAAATTTCACAATGTTTCACGCACGTCCACCAAAAGTGTTACTGAAGATATCTGAAGTCTATATTTCAGAAGAAAATATTTCTAGAGATTTGCAAAGCCACAATTTCCCAGATGCAGAGGTAACTTGAGTATTTTCAGTCCAAACCATCGATATTTTCACACATCTTCATGTTTGTGAAGCTCAAAAAATTGACTTAAAACAATTAATCCCTTAAGAAAATAGTTTCCAATTGAGTTCCTGTTAATGAGATGATCAAATAATAGACTAATCGTTGCAGCTCTGCGTTATTACTGTGAAGTGTGGAAAAACACTAAAGGCTGAACACTCAGCTGGGCTTCATATGTAAGATGAATTGAAACGTGGGTTGATTTAATTTGGATTTGTAAAAAAACTAGTTTTCTGTCTTTGCTGCAGGAGAAGGAGGTGATGGAAGCAGCGACTCGGGCCTTTGAGGACTGGGAGTTTCGTTTTCTGGAGCAAGAGAGCGGCATCGACGTGGAGGACGAGAGCGTGGCGGACAAAGAGACAGAGGGAAAGAATGAAGTGGAAGGGGAAGTGGAAAAGGAAATCGTGTGTCAGCAGCATGTGGTCAGCACGGCACAGGTAAGACAACTGTTGATACCGTTTGAAGCGTATCTGCATGTCCTGCACCTCGTGTCAGGGTTTTCATTCGCCCGCTGATGTGGGATAAACCTTTACAGATATGTGACGTCAGAGTCAACAACAAGTTAAAATCTATTTGAGACTAATGCCCGCCGTAGAATGGAGATATTAAAAACAGTAGTAGAAGAGTGAGGAGTAAAACCTGAATCAACAAACTAAAGTTAAAAAAAGAGCTATAGTAAGAACAAGTAATGATAAGAGAGTAAATTGTGAATAAAACTAAAAATGTCTAAAGACCAGTCTTAGTCAAAAGCCAGACTTATGAGTTAGGTTTTAAATTTATGTTTAAAGATTTCAACACTTCCATCTGCTCTCAGATCCTCTGACAGTCTGACCACTACTTCTTGTCTGCTTCACCTTATCCTCAATCATGGGGAAGTGTAAGTCCGTCTGGGACTTTTCCCTCATATCTGTTCTACGTCACATACGTCTTAAATTTCTTCCACTATGGTCTTAAAAAGTTTTAGATTGAACTGTCTGTTAATGCGATCACATCCTGGACACATGCAATAAAAAACAAGATGTTATTTTATCTTGTTAGAAGTGTAAATGTTCAGCTTATCAAAAACTCACTTCGCAGTTTGTTTCGGTATTTGTGTTAGAACAACAATAGTATTGTGACATTAATAACCCATGACCCTCATCCACCTCGACTTCTACAAGCTTCATTGATTCTCTCTCTCTTTTATTTGTGACCGGCAGCTGACACAAAAGGTCGTCCATTCATGTCGGAGCTCGAGGTCCACCACAAACATGAACTCAGGCTGAAGTAGCTTTGTGCTTATTCTCGCTTTCCTGTTTCGCAATGTCCACCAATTTTACTGTGATCTGAAATTCATTTTATGAGTTAGAATACAGAGACGACAGAACAGGAAGTGAACTTCATAACCTCAAATATGTGTTTCTTTACATTAGCTTGAATTTGTTATTTATTTATTGCTCATTAAGGATTAAACGCCAGATTAGATCGTCTGGTCAGGACGGAATTAAACACACTCACCTCTCCCGTCACGCTCCATGGTTGTCATTGCAAGGTAACCCCCCCCCCCCTCCAACTGTCGGTTGGTGACATGAACATGAACTCTTTACCTCGCTCTCACCGACACTGTCACATGACTCTGTAGAGTGAGCGTAATCACATCAGAGGCCAACATGAGAGAGAAATCCAAACATGAAAATGAAAAGTTAAAAACACACACGAGGGGGATGTGGAACATTTTGGAGCAAGAATTCATGGAGTCTCAGGATTATTTTATTCAATGTGGAGATAAGACTCTTTTTTTATCAGTGTTATTACGATAACACTGATAAAAATCCTTCACTACCCCCACTTACCACACCAAATTACGTCATAGTTGTCGGATTATTACGTAAAAAAACAACAACCATACATTTCAAATGTTTATTTTACACTATGGTATTAATGCTTTTAGGTAAAAATCACGTCTAAGGACCAATTTTAAATGTAGAAATAAACTTGAGTCCCAGCGGCCGCTGCTACATGTCCATTGATATTGAACACGTTTCTACATTGCCCCAAATTCGACTTCATGTCCTTGTGCTCTTAACGATACACATGCCAAGTGTGAAGCTGATAAAATGAATGATTCACAGACAGAGAGAGAGAGATTTGTGGAATATTTAGATGTGCTGCTCTAAGGTGCTGCTTTAATATGAGCCATCATTTCATCGAGTCAAACCCTCGGCCCTGCCGTCTCTCGTGCCTCTCATTAACTTTCAAAATGGATGTCTGATTTGCATTGTGTCTCAGGCTGAGGAGATTGACTTAACCCCGGGGGGGGGGGGGCCTCTGCGTTCACTCACACGACACACACGCTGTCGCATCAGGGACATTTACCCAATTCACCAGAGCATTATAAAGAAAAGACGGAGTAAAGTCGGGCCAGTCAGTGAATGAGCTACGGCACGTGACGTTTCTTTTGAGCAGCCGAAGCCGTGTGGCTGTTCTGATGCGAGTTCTGTGTTTTCAGGAGCGAGTCCAGCAGCTGGAGAGACAGTTGAAGGAGATGGAGAGAGAGAAGGAGAGGGAGCTGAACGCCCTGAGGAGAGAGAAGAGAGAACTCGTCCACACGACTCAAACGGTACGAGGGATCGATAATGATCTGGCTCCTTAACTCCAGTCGTGGTTGATTGATTGATTTATCTTAGAAACGGCATTTGAATTTTGAAAACTTTTATTTCACAGGATAATTTATTTATTGTTCCCTTGTGTAAGAAATCTAAGAATGAATGAGTGTTAATTATATGCATGTTATGTTAGTGAACAAGTGGCGGTTTTTGACACAGCTCGCAAGTTGCAGATGGAAAAGTTCTGGAACTTTTTCTTGATGACAAAATTTTTAATTTTGTTTATGCCCTGAGCATTTTTGTGCATCAGTGCGTCAGTAGACCAGATAAACTTCTCTTTGTGGGTAAACCCAAGGAAATGAATCACATGACTGTGAGTGAAACAGCTCGATGGAAAATTAATAAGTCTTTCATCTCAGTGTTGTGGTTTTACGTCCAGAAATCAAACTGAAGCTGTTTTCTCTCAGCATTTTCATACCGAGCGTCACAAAAAAGCTCCGATAAACTCACTGAACTCCACCTGCTCAGCACCAAACGTGCAAAGTCAGCGAGTAGCAGAAGAAGTGTTAGATATTTCCCCCAGGAGTTGGGTGGGGGAGACCAAAACAGAGCTGGAAGAGAGTGAATGTTGGGTTCATATTCTGCAGGTTGCAAAGTTGTTAGGTTCACTAAATGAACTTTATGAGGTGATATTACATCAGTGTTGTTTGCAGTTGTTGCTGCTCTCAAGTGGCCAAACTGGGTGTAACCACAGACTGTATATAAAGAGGGTGTAACACACTAGTTAAGGTGCCTGGGTCTTGTGTGCTAATGAGCTCATCATAACAGGTTTTATAATTGTTTAACGGAAGCTTTAACATCCTATTTAACAATCTTGAAAGAAATATTATTGTAAGATGAGCTAATTGAAATTAATTGTCTTGTGTTCAAGAGTCGTGAATTAAATTTTACCACAATGTAGTGAACAATCAGTGTATTTACTGGATTTACTAGTAAACATGTACCTTCAGAAAGTATTCTGTCTCCTTTCCTCGCTGCACATTTTCTTTTGCTCTAGATTTTACTGTAAAACTATAAAACTGACCTGAATTAATCAATGATGACTAAAGCGATTGATATCCTCATACACTCCTCAACATAGAGAGGAAGAGTCTTTTTCAACTTTTTCCTTTTTTCGCTGGGCTTCAGTTGAGTTTTATCAAAAACATCCAGCGTCTGTCAGTTGGCTTAAATCTCCAGGTCCGCCCACACCATGTGTTATCTGTGTTTATATTATGAATACTTTCTACATGCGATTTACTCAGTGGCTAATTAAAGTGTGCTGTGATAATATCACACAGCCAGTGGTTTTCCCTTTGATCAGACTTCTGACCGCACCAGTTAAAACGAGGAGGAGACGAGACCGGGAAGAAGAAAAAGCAAATGAGACATGTAGAGAGAGAGAGAGAGAGAGTGAGAGAGTGAGCGAGTGAGCTTCATTCAAACTGGGAGGGAAGGGCAAGGATAGAGGGAGGAGTGAGTTATGTGAGGGAGGGAGCTGCGTGTGAATGTGTGTGCACATGTGAGAGCGTGTGGATGTGTGAGAGGGAGAAGAAGGCGAGCTGGGAGAAGTTTCACATCCTTTGCAGCGAGTGGTGAGTGGGTAAAGAAAGATCTAATGAACCTGTGTTACAACTGTGTCCGTGAGAAAAAACGTTCTGCTCTCCCAAGAGAATGGAGAATGGAGAGAGCTGGAGGGAGGGCAGAAGGGAGTGGCAGTGGAGAAGAGGAGAGAGGGAAGAGACTGTGTCAGAACAACACGACAACAAGTGTGTGTGACTGCAACAACTGTGTGTAGGATGTGGTTAACTCCTGTCATGTGAACTTCCAGCAGTCAGCGCTCCTCGAAGGAAAACCTATTGTGCAGTTTAGAAAAAAGACGAACGAATGTGATTGGATCTCGAGACACATTCGGAAGCACTTGCAACAGATTTCAGATTTTAGATTCGTCCTTAAAACTGTTTCATGAAAGCTTTCGAGTCGACACAGTTTCCCCTGAGGGCAGAGTGTCGAGCGGCGAGGACGCCAGATAAGGGTTAAACACTGGACTGCATGTGGTGACTGAATTACTCATGTGTTTGTGAGTCAACCAGGGGGAGGCTGGAGGGGAAGATAGTGAGGCAGTGATCAGTTTTTAACTCATTATGATCTGTGACGGAAGTGGAGTTTTCACCCTCAGTTAAATGTCTCGCGTGGCAGATCTCGTCATGGTTTTGTAGTTCAGGTGAGGCGTCAGCGTTTGTTCCTCGCTGACGGTTTCCACTCAAGATACGTCACCGAATTTCAAATGACGATGAATCTGCTCCCGCAGGGTCACAAGGAAAAGACGCCGCTCGCAGATTGGTCGAACATCACCGGCTCGGCCCCCTGCATGATGTCACTTTCCCCTCTGACTCCTCACAAGCCCCCTCAGGTGTGCATCCCGTCGCCATGGATACAGCATTTGCAGCACTTTAGAATGATTTTATCCTCAAGATTATTTCATTGATTGTCCAGTTTCAAGTTTATTGATGTACTTCTAGTCATATCTGTAAAACATAAAGGGAAACGAAATTGTGTTTCTCGTGACCTCATGTGCGTATACTAACAGTCAGAAGACAGTTTTAAAACAAATGCAACAATCCTGAAGTGGAATCGAATGTTTTAAAAATAATTTTAAAAACACAATAGTCGGCACAATAATACTAATTTCAAAGTAAACGTAGGTTATTTATCATATTCAGAGAGAGTTGAGCTGTCTATAGCAACCTCTGGCTGTGAAGTCTATGAAATGACTAAATTCATACATTTCCAAACTGTAGTAGAAGAATAAAATATAATTAAATCGGCACATTTGATTTGAACAGTTGTTTTTTTTGTCCTTAAATTAATCATTTTCTCATGGGAGGTTAAATCTTTATTGAATTAAGATTTTTCACATGTAACTGATATGTTTATAAGACGTTTCTGCTTTGTAAGTAAAATCGACTTTCCTTGACTTCACCCATGTTTTGTAGGAACCATGCAAAGATTCTGCCAGTTTGCCCAGAAGACGGAGTTCGCATCGCAGCAACAGACTCAACGACCGGCCGCTCTCTGCACAGGGTGAGCTCTCTCTCTCTCTCTCTCTCTCTCTCTCTATCTCTCCATTTTCTATTGTGCTCTTGATTGCTTAAGCTGAGAGCACGGGGATATAGAACAATCAACTCACTCTCTCGCTGCACTCATGTCCCCGTTTCTGTCTGACTGTTTGTTCAGCTTTTAGTCAAATCGAAGGTGTGTCACGAGAGTGGGCAGGTTACGCTTGGAGAAAGCACGACTTACCTGTACAGACCGGATGAGCCAGAGAAGCGCGCCTACACTTAAGCCCAAACTCTCCTCCTCCGTGTCTCTTTTTTTTTTTTTTTTGTTACAAAGTATGAAAGTAGCCTGTTCTGCAAGGTCATGTCCTGTCTTGCCAGGTTTGTTCTCATCTTGACCTTTATTTACAGTAACTGTGCTGTAACTGAATATTCTTGATCGAACGTGATACATCACTTTGATAAACTGCCACCACTTGCAGGATCTCTCCCACGCCACACCTTATAAATAAAGCTACAGACTCACGTGTCTTTCTCGATCCCCTTCCTCTCTCAGGGCTGCTGAGGACGCTTCCAGACACCCAGTCGCCGGAGGCTCTCACTTCCCCACTCTCCCCTCATAGACTCAGCAATGGACACAGCAGACCTGGGACCAGCAATGGCGGTACGCTCCTCACGCCTTGCAACAGTACGGCGAGCTCCCGTGCTGCCAGGTCGGTTTCTCCACTGCTCGACTGATGAACGACTTCTCATGTGTTGAGTGAAATGAAGAGTAGTTGATTTTGTGGAAGCGTAGGAGCAGGAATGTGATTGATATGGTTCATGTCTTTGCTTAAGAAGAAAAACACAAATAAGGATCACACTCAATGTGAATTAGGTTTTAAAGGAGACGAATGACGCTTTATTCTTTTATTCAATTATTCCCTAGTCTGTTAAAATGTTTTTTTGAATGTAAAAGGTTCGGTTAAAAAGAAAGTCTGTGGTAAAGGGAGCTCTTTTGGCCCATATTTGCATAATGCGCGCCCAGCGGCTAGTCTGGCTTAACTCCTAACAAAGCCGGCTGAAGAGGAAGTGGAGGGCGTCTGTTCCTACATGAGCTGGAAGCAGTTTTCCAATTTGTACAGTTGTTTCAGACGCAGGCTGAAAAGAGGGAATGGGGGAAACACAGAGAAAAGGTCGCAAGATCACCTCTACAATTTAAAATTAACCATGTTAACAAGAAAATATGTTATTAGGCTGCTGATTTTCTTCATGAACCACATGCCCCTTAAGGTGTCTGTCTCTTTAAGGCCCGCCTCTTGATAAAGCCAAGTCTGCTCTGATTGGCCAGTTAGTGCAGTCTGTTGTGATTGGACAACCGCTTCTAGTTCGTGTAGGAAGCGTCAGCCTTCTTTACATGGCTTTGTCAGGGGGCGTGCCAGACTATCCGCTATACATGCATTCTGCAAATGTCACATCACGATGATGCCGAATATAATTTGATGGTATTAAACTGTTTGTTTGCCTTCGACATATTCACTTTGTTTCTGACTGATCCATTTTACTGAGTTTTACTTGACAAAAAACTCTTGTGCTTGTTTTGCAAACAACACATTTGATTCACAGTGTTTGTATTTAAAACCTTTTCTTTACTCTATTTGCCGAGTGCAGTGATTCTGTTGCCATCGGTAACGAGTCTAACTCTCCCTCCTGCAGCCCGTGTCTGTTGGATCTGGTTGAGATCGAGAAGAAGCTGAGGGAAGCCAAGGTGGAGAGAGAGCGACTGCTCAGAGAGCGGGTGAGTCACCTGCCGTGGGAAACACCGGCCGACACCTCGAATCAGCCGGTACACACTGCGTTAGACGTGGCTGTGGGATCACTGACACCCACCCAGCTCACGCATGAGGGTGCACGGAAACTGACAGCAGATGTGTGGATGTTTGTAAAGTGTGTTTTCAGCACAGAGAGATGCTAAGGCTCTAATATGTCTAACCATGTGATTTGAGTTTATGCGAGAGTTTTGACTTTTATTGCTAAATAATTTTTATTTATTAACCACAAAGGGGCCATCACGTTGTTTGGAAGATGGTAAATTATTGTCTATGATTCATGCCCCCAGGAAGAGCAACGGTGGTTGTTGTTGGAGGAGAGAAAACGGAGGGAGCTAAACTGTCCCTTAACAGAACCACCGGAGCCAGAAAGCCAACAAAGGCCAGAACCAGAACCAAAGGAGCAGCTAATCGCCAGCTCTCCCCCAAACTCCCCAGAGGTATGTGTGAAATCACAGCCACAAAGAAATGGTTTCAGTCACTTTCTCCATCAGCTGTGAACTAACAAGTTTCAGATTATCACAAAAAGATTCAGAGCTGCAGGAGATTGGTTGAAAAAGAATATTTAAAGTTTCCTTAACTTTTTGTCTCTAATTTATCGACTGTAAATAAAGATGGACGATGAGTCTCCACTTCCTCCAACTATCCACAGATGAAGCTAAAACACCCCAGATACAGACGTAGCCATCTTGCACATTTGGATCCAGAAGCTGCAGTAGTGATCTAATTAAAACCAAACTTATCAGAAACATAAACACTGAAATGATTTAGCGTGTGCTTTGACCTTTTTGGATCAGTCCATGTCCTCCATCCATTAACATGGAGGAGAAAGGATTTACCACCAGGTGGCGATCGAGACACTTCACTTTTGGCGAGCTGTCACATTTTTTTTTTACACAGGCTTTGTGTGAACCAAGAGATGCCACTGGAAAAATATTCTGATCTCCTTAAACTTCTAGATTTGTATAAAGACAAGGTTTGCAGGTTAAACTGTATAAATGTAAAAGTAAACCAAAGTGAAGTAGACACTACTTTTAAGTTGATGTATAAAAAAAGAATAAATATTTTTTGTCCAGATAAACACTGAATGCTCGTCATGTCTCTTCACTGTCTGTGGAAAATGGAGCGACTCTCTTTCAGCCAGGTTTAAACTCCATTTGTCTCTGCAGCCCCGCAGCCTGCCCCTCTTCCTCTCTGCGAACTTTGACCTCCGGGCCCACGTGGAGTCCCTGGGTCACGGGGTGGCCGGCTGCACAGAACTGCGGATGACGTCTCGACGCTGCGCGGGCTTCCTGACCAAGCGAGGGGGGAGGGTGAAGACCTGGAAGAAGAGGTGGTTTTCGTTTGACACGGACCACAGACGACTGGCCTACTATACAGGTTAGACCGGCGGGGGAGGAGAGGGGGGTGGGTTGGTTGGGGTGTGACCTTAATGACTTCATGTTTGCATAGATTAAAAGTCTCCAGTCGCTCTTCTGTCTCTTTTCCTGCACTGACTGTTTTATCTCCCAAAATGATTTACATGAAGAGGAAGCAAATTAGTTTTTGTCATTTTATTTACTTGCATACAGCTACTGTCCACAGTTTATAAAGACAAATGTATTAATGAAGGGCGTATTTAAAAAAAACTACAAGGCCACTCAGTTGAGCACATACCTACGTCAAGACCCATCAGCCCTCTAAACACACCAGATCATCAATATCCAGGCGATGTTACTGAGGAAAATTAGGAAAATGTTGAAAGACGCCACATCTCACAATGTTGAAAAAATCCCCGGATCCTCAGACGAAAGCATAGAATCCTGGGTGGAGGTAATAAAATATGAATATCATGATAATAATACAAATATGATAACATTGTGTAAATAATAGATTACCTCTTTAATAATTTTAAAAAAGTAAAACATTTATTTGAGGGATTTATTTCAGATTCTCTATAGGAAATCACATTATGTGAATTCTTTTGGCCACAATAATGGTGAAGTAAAAACCTGATATAGATCCAGGTTTAATTCACAATACAGTTAAAGACCAGTAAGAGCTTCTGTGACTTGAGGACATCCAACGAGTCCTCATGACTTTTTCTCTTAATTCACTTCTCCCTTTATTTGCAGACTGTGATGAGAGGAAGCTTAAAGGAGTCATCTACTTCCAGGCCATAGAAGAAGTTTACTACGACCATCTACGAACAGCCACATCCGTGAGTTCCCGTGACGACACAATCTGACTCAGAGCAACAATATGCAACTTTTTTAATGAAAAAAAAAGAGAAATATCCTGTAGTTTTTTTTTATTTTTTTATAAATAATTATTTAAAGCAACAAAAGCCTGTTTATTTGTAATGCCAGGATTGTGAGAGCAAAACAGAAAGGATTCAAGTAAACCATTGTTATAAGTAGTGATTATGTAATGTTATTGTTATTAACTTTGGTCGTCAGGCGGAAAAGTTCTGCTCTGAGAGAAATCAAATCAACAGCATCACTAACAGCGTGACTGTCCTCTCTCCAGTCTCCTCGGCCCACTCTGACGTTCTGCGTGAAGACGTACGACCGTCTCTTCTTTCTCGTGGCGTCCAATGCGGTATCCATGCGGATTTGGATGGACGTCATCGTCACGGCAACAGACGAGCACAGCCGTTATTGACCTCTTGCATATGTGACTGTAAGATCCTCGAGTGCAGCTACTGAGCACTGGAGCAGGTCTGGGTGAGCTCCACCTCGGGGGCTTGTTCTGCACCTGGACTCATGAATCTGAGGACGATCGGTTCGTGACAGTCGGAGCTGATGCGTTTGAACAGATTTACTCAAACGCGTTGGAGGAAACCGTTACCGGAGGGGTGAGACTTCAGTGGCGGCACAGGTTTCACCGCTGAACCAGTTGCAGACCACACGCAGCTTCACGCACCAGCGTGCACGCTGGCCATCTTGTTACTGGGAAGTTTCCACCCCCCTCTGCTGGTCACTACTACACTACAACAGGGAGAGGGCGGAGTAATAGCAGCACCGGTTCACTGCAATGAAATCCAATACAAGTTACATGTCCAGATGTTTGCGTCCACGTTCTGTAACTTTTTTCAGTAACGACGATTGTAAATTCAATTATGTTGTATTAAGTTATTAACTGGAGATTTATATGGGTTTGATATGCAAATAACTGAAGGAATACACTGTTATGAACGCACTATTAAATTTTTATTTGTAAAAACTGTTGCTTTAGTTTGTTCTCTTTTGTCCAACATTATTTATTTTTATTTAAATCAAGACCTAAAAGAAATATATTTCCCATCACGGTGGATGATTTCTCCTTTGCAATGTTGCCATTTTTACACTTTTTTTTCCGAATCTTCTTCCTGTTTTGCTTCTTGAAATATGTCTGTTTTCGTTTCGTTATTTCAATAGTGTGTGTGTGTGTGTGTGTGCATGTGTGTGCGTGTCCGTGCGTGGTGGGGGGGATTCCTTATTTTTTATAATAGCCTCTTTTAACCCCTTTTTCTCGGGGAAATTACTTTTCTAAAATACCATGCATGCAATTCATAAGAATCAGTATTTTATGACATTTACCTCAAATATAAATCACATGATCTAAACTTTTTCAAACACATGTGGCCTTCACGTTGAATCCTTCCAGCTTTATTTGTCTTTCCGGTGATGGAAAAGACACATTTCTTCCTGCTAACATGGAGGAGATGACCTGATACGGCAGCCGGCCAACACCGGGGGATGAAGTCCCTTTGGCTTCACATGTGGGAGCTGGCACATCATCCATCTTTATGCACCACCTATGATTTCAAGTCATGTAACTTGACACTGTTGAAGCATCTGCTTTTTACTTGATGGGAAAAATAAACCCATTATATTTAAACACAGGATAATTTGTACTTTTCTCTTTTTTCTCTTCTTGAATCTCTCCATTTCCTCTAATATCAACTCTTCCGTCTCTGCTCACTTTCTCTTTCCTCCTCAGTTGCAATGAGAAGTATTATATTCTGCTTTTGTCACACACACAAATAATTAACTTTGTTAGAATCATCACGCTGAATGGATGTACTGCAGTAAATCCATTGTTCAACAAGTTATTCTGAAATAATATTCCTGACACAAATAATACCACGTGTGTGTTATTGTAAAACGCTGCCTCGGGTATAAGAATATTGGGAATCCTTCGGTAAACAACTGCACGGATGTGAGTTACTGTACAACAGAGAAAGGATGAAAACCCTGTTGTGCTGAGCGCCACTCCCCAGACCAATCACACAAGAACTCAGAGTCCCATCCACACAGGCCACCAGTCGGACATGACCCAGCTGTTGGATTATTACCACTGACCCTTCAATGCTGGTAAAAAACCTTCATCAGCTTCCTTCTACAATTTCAAACACATTTTCTGTCAGTATTTATGATTCAAAGATTTTTAGATTCAACCTCAAATATGCTCTTTTTTTTTTTAGAGAATAAAGAAACTTACTGCTGAAAATCTTTGTTGGTTTTAAGGTAAGACTTGGAAAACGTGAATGAAATCATAACTCTGACTGGTTGTTTTAATTCATGCATCGTGAATCTGTTCAGTTAAAAATATACATAAATAACTACACAGATAAATTGTTACTGTCTTTATTTTTCTTTCCAAACTTTCAAACCTCCAATGGAAATGCATCAACTTGTTGTTTGAAAGTTATTCATAATAATTTTCCATCCTGCAAGATTTTACTCATGTTGCTGCTGGGTTTTTTTTTTTCAGAAAAAAACTTTTTTTGTTTCATTTTTTGAAGTTGACGATAATAAACATCTTCATATTTGTTCTTTTAAATCTGTAAATAGTTTTTATGATGCATGATGGGTTCCACCTTTGTCTTTCATTTCCCTTTTCTACTATTGCTACAACTAAGAAAAGACCTAATGGTCCATTCAATTTTACTGTAAATATATGAAGCATATTTAAATATAGAGTTTTTCTTTTTCAAGTATTGTTGTTAATGTATTTTGTTGTTTTTATTGGACTGCTCATTGTTTGTTTCCTAACATAATGATTTATTTGTATCATTCATTTCTGTCTACCTTCACTAAATGTGTGCAACTAAAAAAAACAAAAACAGGCCAGCCTTTAACTTTTCAAGCTTCAAATTATTAACTGTTAAGAAATCTTGTGTTTCAATTTGATTGTCCACTTACAATTTAAATTACAAGTTAAAAGCACATAATTAATAATTAACTGATATATTTTCGGTGTAGGAGCGTCAGAATGAGAGGTGCCATAAAGGTTTTCTTCATATGCTGTCTACTTCAAGGTGAGCTGTTCTGATAAATGATGTGTTAAATAAGCGACTTGTTTAAATTTCACAAGACGTGCTTTTGTCCATTCCCTTTGACCATTGTCTATTTTGGATTTCTTTATTTCCTTTTTGAATACTGCCAGTTTATAATATGCTTGGAAACTTGTGACATCTGCACAACTTGTTTGAATCGAATCCTCACTCAGTTTTCTCTGTTATTGTGTCGCCTCAGGCAGCTCATGCCAACAGTGGGCAGCCGTCATGCCTCAGACAGTGGAGGGTCTGAGCGGCTCCTGTGTCCTCGTCCCTTGCAGTTTCAGCTTGCCCCCAGAATGGGATCAACACCTGGATGATTCGTGCAGAGCCATCTGGAAGAGAGGCAGCTGGAGACGAACACAAGTGTTTGATTCCAGCCTCAGCGGATCGAGTGCAAGCCTGAACATCCTGCAGGGAACCCTGACGGGGAATCTGCGTGAGAAGGACTGCACCACCGTCTTCAACAACCTGCCCTCGAACCACTACGACAACTATTACTTCAGGCTGCAGTGTGACAACTCACTGAAGTTCAACTTTCAAACCAGTGTCATCATCATCGCTCAGGGTTTGTGCTACATCCTGTTTCTCTCTCATATGTAAACCCACATCGTTTGGTTTCTCTCTGGTTTGACTCCTCATTGTGTTTACTTCTCAGATTCATTCCCCAGACCTGCTCTGAATCCGTCCAGGCTGGAGGTAGAAGAGGGGACTCCTGTGAGGTTGAACTGCACGGCTGTCTCGCCCTGTCCCCTCCTTCCTCCAGTTTTGACATGGATGCCAAGTACAGGCGACATCGAGGAGATCGTAGAAAGCAAATCTGTGACCTCTGTTATGAACTTCACTGCTTCTTACCTTCACCACGGACAGATGATCTCCTGCAACACCCTCTACAGCCGACAAGCCGGCAACAGCGACCTCCTGTATGAAAAAAGTGTGACCTTGCACGTTTACTGTAAGCGTGTATTTCTGTATCTTATTTTTGTGTTGGCTGTTATTTCACCTCACGCCATTAACACCTCATCTGGAGTTATATAACTGCATGCTGTGAGAAAAACACATTCAGACTGTGTTTGTCCTCCTTCAGCATCGTTGCCTCCATTGAAAAGTTTGACGCTTACTCTCTGCAAAGGTCGATGACTTATTAGAGAAACTCGTTAATAATCGTTGAAGAATTTTAATTGATCAAGCTCAGTGACTAATCCAGTGTATTAATTATTTGGGTAGTAACAATGTGTAAACTTCTCATGAGGCATTCATCATTTCAAAATAATATATGATCCATAATAGCATGTGTTGTTTAGTTGGTGAGTCTTACACAAATATATTTGACATCGTTGGATATATTTGTTCACTTTCATGCAGCGTGTCAGACACAGTTAGAAAGCCGGTTAGCTCAGCTTAGCATAAACACAGGAAACGATCTTTTTGCTTTCAGATTGAAATCAAAACAGAGTGAGATATGTCAATAATTGGCCTTTTAGATGTGCTGCAAGGCAGATTAGACAATTATTTCCCTGAGAAGTTGGGAGAGACCAAAAACTACAGTACAGTGAATCTTTTATAAACGTCTGTCAGGAGCCCACAAACACAAAAGAGTGTTAACGTTTCCTTGTGTTTGGTTGGTGTAAAAAGAGACGACAGTTTGACACCATGTTCCCCACATCAACCACACTGCATCCTGTGATGATAAGTTAATTTTAAAAAAAAAGTTCAACTTGTCAACAACATCAAAAAATGACAATATTTAACTGTTTAAAAATTCTCTTCCAGATCCTCCAAATAACACGTCGATCAGTTACCCCGCTCCTGCACAGGAGGGTCGATCTGTGACTCTGACTTGCAGCGCTAACGCAAATCCAGCCGTGGACAGCTACACCTGGTACAAAGAGGATGGAGATCAGGTGTTGGCAGTGGGCTCCAAGAAGAGGCTTTCAACCACGGTTTCAGAAGTCGACAACCGATTTTTCTGCAAAGCCAGTAACCAATATGGAGCCGAGAACTCCTCCGTCACTCAGATAGACGTACAGTGTAAGTCTAAAACAGACTCATGATGACAAATATTTGTCGACGAAATCGACTGAAACCAGACTTTGTGTTTGTTTTCCAGTTTCTCCCAAGGACACGACGGTGATTGTCGATCCCACCGGTCCAATACTGGAGGGAAGCTCTGTGTCTCTGCTCTGTCGGAGCCGTGCCAACCCCTCGGTGACCAACTACACCTGGTACAGAGACGACTTTGAGGAAGAGGAGGTTGGGCCGAGCTTCGTTCTGAGCAGCGTCGACCTGAGCCGCAGTGGTGATTATCACTGTGAAGCAACAAACGCTCTGGGAGAAGACGCGTCAGCAGCCGTTCATCTGGACATTCAGTGTAAGTTGATTGAACACAGTAGAGATGTTGATTTACAGGGACAGAACAGTGTGTTTGCAGTGTGCTCAAACACGACCAGGGGCCAAGACCCCAGCGAGACTGTCTGGAGCGTGAACAGTGATGTATTGTCGTGTTTCGTGACAACTTTCAAAATCCTTTCTATGTCAACGGTCCACGATGACTGAGCTCTGCTGTGAGTCCACATGTGTGCCAGTGTGTTGATGTATGTGTGGATGATTGTTTGGTTCGTGTTAAGACGTCATTTCCAACCACAGAAAATAAAGAGGTTGTCTCTGTTTAACGAAAGTACAGCACTGCTTTATATAGAAGTATTTACATGTGAATGTTTACAGCGTTTCCTCAATCCCAGAATCACCAGCACACAAACCCTGAGGCTACATCCATCCCACCACGTTTCAGTTTGTGTAAATTGCGTTTTCAAAGCACTTCGTGCAATTTGGTGCAGCTTGATTGAATTATCATGGAATTTAATTGTGTAAATTTATATTTGTGCTACAGACTTTTCTTGCCATTTTTATAGTCTCAAGAAAAATACGTTTTCCAGACTCACCGAAGAACACCTCCGTGTTGGTTGAGCCTTCCGCTCCGGTGCCGGACGGCAGCTCTGTGACTCTGACGTGCACGAGCGTCGCCAATCCAGCAGCGACGAACTTCACCTGGTTCAGAGTGACTGCGAGACAGAACAAGGTGGTGGGTTCTGAGCCAGACTTCACCTTCAACGTGACCAAGCTCTCAGAGGATTACTATTACTGTGAGGCCCTGAACGTCCACGGAGCTCAATACTCAGAACCTGCTCGCATTGATGTCGCATGTGAGATTTGTTCATTTATAATTGCAGCTGGTATTTGACCGACGTTTGACCGGCTGTGCACAAACAGCTAAATCAGTTCTCCCTCTCAGTTTCTCCAGAGATCCTGCCTTCCTCCCGCTGCATCAAGATTTTGTCCCAGTTCCGATGCTCCTGCGACAGCCAGGGTAACCCGCTTCCCTCCCTGGTTTGGGAATTGGCCGGGGAGCCCGTCAGTCACTCCGCTGACATTCCAATCAGAGAGGTACCCCTCGGGGGTTTCAGCAAGAGGAGCGTCATCACTCTGTACCATCTGGACAAAGATGTGCCCTCTCTGCTCTGCCTCACCATCAACTCTCTGGGCTCTGATACTTTGACCTTCAACATGTCCGCCAGTGAAACTCAGCTAGGTAGACAGATCTGCAGGATGCTGTGTCCATGTTTGTCTTCTTTGTTTTGTTTTTTTTTTTGCCTAATTTGCTTCATGGACTTTCCAGGCTTCCACACGGTGTCTCTGTTGATTGGCTCTGCGGCGGGAGCCCTGGGGATGCTGCTGGTGTGTGTGCCGCTGTTGCTCTGTTGCAGGTGAGGACGTTTTAAACTCAATGACAAACACGATGTTTTGGTTGGAAAAAACAGATTTTGAGGTTTGACTCGACTGGACGTCCTCTGATAACTTCCACAGAAACAAATCACGAGAGGAGGAATAATAATTGATTTCACGTATAACACTGATGTTTGTGTTGGTTTTAGGAAAAGGAAAGACCGACTGTCACTGGTGGACACTACAGACATTTTAGTCACTAATGAGGTGAGCTTTTGTCCTTGCACTATATATCATAGGTAAATGTGAACAGATGCACCTTCAGTCAAGTCCCACAAACATTCAATTGAATGCCTTCACCAGTTACATGTATCAAGAATCTAATCTTAATGTTTTGTTTTTAAGTTTTCTGATTGCCAGTCTGTCTGAGTTCACTTCTGTAGCATCTTTCATTTGACCATCTTTTGATCAAAAAGCATTTTTCTTGCCTTGTGAACGTGATATGTCCGGAACGCCTTGAGGAAATCATTTCACAATTGGCGTTAAGATTTATTGTGACTGAAAATTGAACAGATTTGATTTTGATAGCCTAAAGTCAAAGGTCAAGGTCACTGTGACCTCAAAAACCTATTTGTTTGCCTTGAGAACATGATATCTCTGGAACACCTTGAGGAAACCATTTCACAATTGGAATAAACATTCATTGTGACTGAAGATTGAACAGTTTTGATTTTGGTAGCCAAAAGTCAAAGGTCAAGGTCACCGTGACCTCAAAAAGCAAATGTTTTGCCTTGTGAACGCGATATCTCCGGAATGCCTTGAGGAAATAATTTCACAATCGGCGAAAACAGTCAGGTTGACTTGGGATGAACAGTTTTGATTTTTTGGCTAAAAGTCAAAGGTCAAGGTCACTGTGACCTCAAAAAGCTGTTTTTTTCCCCTGTGAATGCAATATCTCTGGAACGCCTTGAGGAAATCCTTTCACATTTCACTGTGACCTCTCAAAGCATAATTTTGGCTTCTTGAATGCATTGCTTGTCTTCCTGTAGACCAGCTCTTCACACCTGGACGTCGTTCAGGTCAGTAATGTCATTCTGGAGGAGGAAGGTGGAGCCAGTGTGGACTTTGATCAAATCCAGGTCAGTACAGAGGGAAAGCTCGAGGACGAGGAGATCAGAGGCCTGGACTCCAAGATGACAACTTCTGAAATCTGCCTGCTCTCAGAAGAATGCAATGGTGGAGATGCAAAGGAAGAGGAAACAGGTGCAAACACTGGGGAAGGCATTGATGGTCTTATGGGACAGAGCAGTGACGAACCAATGGCTTAACGTTTAAGAAAATACAGGTGAATCACATCAGGATTCTGGCTGCTGATTCTGTCCAGAAGCTAAGGATTCTGGGTAGAAAAACCTTTCAAAATCTGCAGCAGCAGAGGTAACATCTGTTCTGCAAGAGTGATGTCACATGTCTGCGGTTTGAACTTCATCTTGACTTTTTGACTAACAATCCTTTCTTAATTTCTCTCGATGGCCTAGCACAGTAAAACTACTTCTTAATAGATACAATGGATAGTTACTAATACTGCAGGTTTCACAGCTAGTTTTTATGCTGGTGTTTAATCAGCCAGAACGATGTTTAAAATCATCTATGTTACTAAATACTAGAGATAAGAGCTGATTTATCATGCTACTGTTTGTATTTAATATTTCAATGTCTTATGGTGCTGTTCATTTATTATTTAAAACGCAAAGTGAAAACTGAACATAGACACAGTTCGATATCTTTCAAACGCTTTTATTGATCTTTGTCATACATTCCTCTTCAGTTTTTATATGCACAAAATGAATCCTCCTGCACTTATGTTGGCATTCAACAAGAGCTAGAGTCAAGCAAGTTATAAAATGGAGCATTTTGCATGTACATGTATTCTTCAGAAACCATTTTGCGCTGTTTCATGTTCACAAATTCCACAAAAATGTCAATAAACTTTAAAGTACATAATTTCTTTAAATATATTTCTTTTTTTTTAAAAACTGCAATATATTTACATTTCAGGTTTGTGAGTGTTTCTCACATTTCTTGTCTAACTCTTTGTCATTTATATATATAAATTATTTTAAAAGTTATTGATATCATTTTACAGTCACACTATTTACATTTTAAGTTGCAAAATATGAATTTTAACCATTTATCCCTCACATTTAGCTATTTTAACATTTTGACCCCAAAACCTTCAATTAACAGTTTCAAATATTTTTCCATTTTAGCTCAGAAATGTAACTTCTGCCTTTTTGCTAACTAGGTTTAAAATACTCCTAATGGCAACATGCATGGTTGTGTTGTAGCTGCATACGTTTTGTTGGCCAGCTTACATTACTGTAGATTTAAGATTACAACCTATTTTTGCTTAACACATGAACTGGTTATACACTCTGTGATGACTTATTGTGAATATAACCTTTGTCACACATGTTGCTGTAAAAAGCAGGAGAAGAACATCTTGGGTCAAATCCTGATGGCAGAGTACTGACTCTCATCCTCGCTTGAGGTGCTGGAGTCGCTGTCGGTCATCTGACGTGGGGGCATCGCTGTGAAGATCACCTGTGAATAGTTGAGCTCCACTTCATCTTCACCGTCGTCAAATAGATTTGGAGATTTGGGTGCACATGCAGTTGCCTTACTAATGTTTTCATAGTCCTGCATGCTGTCTGGTTCCTTCTAGGATGAGAGTCGTTAATAGGTTATTTGTGTCTGGATGTGATGAACAATAAACAAATTCATACAAGACACGCAATCGATTTTTTTAGGACTTGCAGACATTTTCCTTGATTAAAATGTTTGTATGTTGCACAGAATAAATGGGTGATGGTTTTTGTTTCTTCTTACCATATGAAATACACAATTTAAAATCAACTAGTAGCAAAACATAGAGACTAATGAAATGAGAGTTCACGGTTCCTGACCTTTGGCTTGGCCACTATCGCATACACTGCGTGTTCTTCTTCCTGTCTTTGCCTGTTCCTTGAAAAACAAATAGCAACATGAACGTGTGGAGTTCAATAACACCTTCATTGTTCTGGTGTTGTAATGCAAACATAAATTCTTACTTTGGCTTTTTCCAAAAATGCAGAGAAGCGTAGTTGACAGAATCAGCCTCTGTGTCTCCATTTTGTGCAGAGGCACCCTGAACAGATGCAGACAGAAAACATCAGTAATTATCAAGCAGCAACTGAATCGTGTTAAATTTCAGGGTTGCAGATTTCCTGAGAGATTATTTAAGTGATAAGGATATTTTTTAATCTAATGTGCACATGTTTTTGTCTTGTTTGAGGTCCTTGCAAGTGCGTGTACTCAAAATAAAACACATTCTGGGACTTTGAAAGCTTTGTAATATCACCATTAAAATGAATTTCCTTTTTTTAAATTTCAGATCATAAGAACTGTTGATGACATGATTGAGAGTGTTTAGAAGAATTAGTCATTTTACAGTTTTACAGCATTTTATGTGGTGGTTTTCAGAAAACAAGCTCTGTCATAAACAGTCAGAAGTGATGACGCAGAAGCTTAAATATCCTGAATCTTATACCTATACTGAGTTAATCTCTACAATCACCCTTTCCTACAATTTCCAATATACAAATAGAGAATTTGAAATAGATTTTGAAGGTTAAACAACTGGTAGTTAAATAATTTACGAATCTATTGTGTGAAGACAAAGTTCACTTTGAAATTAAACTCATTTTAATATAAATCTTCTTGGGTTTTAGTAAAGTTTCCATCGATTGCTTTCATTTATTGTTTTCTTGTTTAAATTGCTGTCTCAACCGGGGACTGGGACCCGGCACTCACCTTGGGCAGATTCACAACGCTGTAAACAGCGTCGATGTTGGTCAGAGGCCTGTGGAACAGAAGAATAAACTTATATACTTAAGAATATATATAAGAATAAACACATGCATACAGAGTGAATGACTATTATAAATAACAGGGCAGACTTTCATTGTGCCATCCATGTCTGGAGGATCTGACATAAATGGATGCTTTGAGCAGCAGCCCATGTCTGACTCTCTGTCCCACACAGTGTTCCTTGTCCTGGGTGTGTGTGGGCGCCGTCTTACGTGCTGTCTGGAAGCTGCTGGTGTCGTTGGGCCTGTGGACGCCTCAAATTCTCTGACAAGAGGTCGTCTCTGCTCCTGAAAGGCTCCGCAGAGACGGTCTCATTCATCAGACTCCTCCTCCTGGTACCATTACGCCAACACTAAAATGATGTACACATACACACACACAGGATATGTCACTTCTGTCTGGATATTTTCAATAAAGAAGTAAAATGGTTAAATAAATGTTTCATCACCAAATAACCAAATATGAATGTTGTGTTCCTTTCTCCTTGTTGAATAGATTTTTTCCTCCTGTTTCTGAAAACACAGAGGGGACATGATGTGGTAAAACATGCCAGAATTAAATGTATTTATTTAATTTAATCAAATGTGCTTCTTATTCATTCACCTTAAAATCAAGACGACAAAAATTAGAAAAATCAGGACAAGTAGACCGAGAACGAGGAACTTCAGGATGTCCAAGAAGTCTCCTGTGGTTAAAAGAGACAGAGCATCATATAGACCTTGACCTTTGACCTTTGGCTACCAAAATCAAATCAGTTACTCCTCGAGTCTAACAGTATATTTGTGCCAAATGTAAAAGGATTCCCTCAAGGCGTTACATAGATATTGCGTTCACAAGGCAAAAAATATGCTTTGTGAGGTCACAATTACATTTCACCACCGAATTCTTATCACTTCATCTGTGATTCCGACTGAACATTTTCACCAAATTTGAAGAAATTCCCTCGAGACATTCTTGAGATATCACGTTCACAGGACGTACGGACGGACAACCGTTTAACAAAACGATAAGACCGATGTCACTAAACCTCCCACGTGTCTCCTGAGCGACAAAACACAGTTAGATGACTTTGAAATTCACTCACGTTCAAACAGATGGACTGAGTCAGATGATCTCTTATCTATTTCATTTTCTGCGACGCAGTAGTAGGCTCCTGGCTGGTTTGAGTACACAGTGTGGTTTTGATAGTTGGACACAACTTCATCTTTTTTGCCCTTTATCTCTCTGTACCATGTGTAGTGGTGGACTCGGGGAACGCTCTGACTGGTGCAGCTCAGCGTCACGGAGCTCCTCCCATCGAGCTCCCGCTTCTCAGCCGACCCTGTGATGTTTGTGTTTTTTGGAGCATCTAGCAGGGAAATTCAGGAGAGAGGACAAGTTGGTTTCCTCAACATCATAGATTGAGAAGTGAAAACAACTTGAAATTGAGTTAAATAATAAACAAATCTATTGGACTAAGACAAAGTTGCAGGACAGAGCTTTTTTAAAACAGCCTGAATGAGGACATGACACTGAGTGAGCAGCTAAAATCTAATACTAATACT